GCAAATCAGGCAGAAAGCCAGGATGCACGGCATATATATAGAGGTATATATGTAGATGCCAAACGCGATAGTTGGCGGAACAACGGAGACCCCGAGCGGGTTTCCTCTTTAACACGTGAAAGGACGGACAGACAGCCGTAGAACGGATGCGAACCCGATGGGGCTTTGAACGCCATTATCCTGAAGTGGGCCAATTGGCTGCCATGAGTGTAGATGGCAGCAAGAGATGCATCTTAAGCTGGGGTTTAAGCTACATCAAATTAAAGTTAAATCGAGGCAGTCTAAATCCAAGATTGTGTTAAGGAAGCAGAAAAACGAAGGAAAGTGTGACCAGGACTCAATACGAGGTAAACTGGAGTGACCAGGCTTCCCTGGTTAAAGCTTGTAAAGCAAGTAGAACTCAGTAGGGGTCAAATAAAAGTTAATCCCAGTTAAAGATATTACCCAATCAGAAGTCGGATATCAAAAAAAGTGTGATCAGGTTTCAATAGGAGGTGAAACGGTGTGACCAGGTTTGACATAAATGCTGGTAAAGCAAGTTAAAGTTAAGTGTGATCAAACATAGTTAAAGGTTAAGGCTAAGGTTATTATTTTGTTCAATAGTGCACATACACAGCTACTTTAAATAAAATAATTATCTATTAACTCGATCTCTTTAACCTCAATAGCTTAACGTCTTTGTAACTTAAAGGTTGAATACAAGACAATGCTTTTGCCTATGAATATATCAAAACCAAAGTTGGGGCGCCACCCCGAGATTATAATCAATCTTTGTTATAAATAAATTGTTAAACTAGTTTCAGTCATAAGAATAGCTATAGTTTATTGAAATTTATGCAGCCAATAATTCGCATTCAAGTTCAGTCAAAGCAAAACTTTAATAGGAATTGAATTTCTTTTGTTATGCGATCTATACAAAACAAAGCCACAAGTTCCATAAGAGTTTAATAGGACTCCATTACCCCTCCAAAGTTTATATTAATTGTGAGCTCGGTAAACCAAATGTTTGAACCACATTCAATTTGATCCCAATTAACTATCGCTCTGTTAGCAGTTGTTACGTCGACACGAAACCTTATCGATGACTCCCACGATTGCACGCAAAACCCTCGACACAAGTACAAGCAATAAAGTACAACCGAACGCATTATCAAAACAATAAACAATTGATGGTATTTTGCCGGCGATAACAACAACCACAACCATCTTCGAGGCATAAAAATCAATAAAGCACACAGAACGCAATTGCACGAAAGCAACACGAGGGATCAGAAAAGAAACAACTGAAACACAAACGGCAACAAACTGCTGGCAAATAAATAAAAATTGCTTTATTTATTAAGCATTAAACAATAAATGGGATTATTTTTATCATCGCCGCATAGAATTGTTTAGTGGAGCAGGGCACAGAATGGATCCAAATGGAGTTGATGAGGTAGAAGGAGCGGTCCAAAACCAAACAATACGGACTACGCAGAGACCTTCGGAGTGCGAGAATAATAACAAATTCAAATACTGAAGGAGGACGATGAAGAGCTACCAAGATAAATAAATGCAAATCATTTTTTCCCTGTTTCTTGTTGTTCTATCTAGATGGAGCATGGCATACCCAGTATTTTTCGTTCGAAGGGGGTATTTTGGATCTTATAGGAGGTATGTTTAGGTTATTGTTACAATGTTCTATTTGGAAGAGAGATTTTTAAGGACTGAAATATATATTATTTAGCTGACTCCATTGCAGTTTTAAGAATAGTATAGGTAGTATAGGAATAAAATATTATTTTCCCGATATAGACCGCTTAAGCTTTAAACATTTTTCGGAACTTTGAAAGTGCAAGATAAGTTATCAAATAAATTTCTATATTAAGAAGGTAATATATCAAAACAGGGTAATTTCTCACTTATACCTTATCATATGACCGTTCTCACTTGTCCCTGCAATGTAGTGTTTAGACTCTCTGGGATTTGGGGAGGCTACCACCGATGAAACGGGCATTAGGAAAATTGTTTCAAGGGTGGCAGTTTAGAACAGGACAAAGCAAGTGTTGGAGTTGGATCGGACACCAAAGTATGGGACAATCCAACTCATTTAAATGGAACTTTTCTGTGCTCCGGCCCATATATTTCCGGTCTCGTTTTTGTTGTTTATCCCGCATTTGATTTCAGCAAATTTGTTACTGCCACTTTGCATTACCTTTTTTGTCCGATGGTCCGATTTCCCGACCTTTGTGCCACCATTGAACGAAAGAGTGAGTGAGCTAAAGGTAGCAAAAGTTTTGCAAGTGACAAATAGATTTAAATTCGAAAACACTTTTTTGTGTAGCCGCTGTTTTGTTTCTGCTGCCGAGTGGAAGTTTGTGCTATGCAAAGCTCTATTGACAGCGGTCGTAAATCTTTTGTAAAAGTGCCTGGAACCCATGTCAATGGGGGGAAAACCCTTGTGCTGGTGGGTCGATGGGTGGGGCGTGAAAATGTGTGTACGAACATGGAAAATCAGTTTTCAAGTTGGGGTTAACTCCGCAACCCATCAAACTAAACCCCCATTTCAAAGAGGTTATGGATGAGTGAATTTATCGGCTAATGGAAAAGTAAGCAAACATAAAAAAGAAAGAAAGTCACTTTAAAATATGTATAGATAACTATAAATAGCCGAGTGCTGGACTGGTAGCCACATAGGTTTGCTGATAGTGTTCGTAATCAAATGTTATAAATATGAAATATTTTGCTTATCTAGCGGTGTGACTTGCTAATTACTTGTTGCTATAGAAAAACAAATATTCTTAGATAAAATACAGCTAATATCTTTGCGATTACTTTGCTTGTAGCTTAGTTATTTCTCGGAATTCCTTTCGTGTTATACCCATTCTTTTTGGGAGGAGAAGTGATCTCATTTCGCTTTCCACTGCCTCCATTAAAATCTGTTTACATTGTCTGCGATGGCATTAAAAACTTATAATTTGCTGGCCATCATTCGTGGGACTCGTGTTGCGGTGATTTCCAGGGAAATCAAATCCGCGGGGGCAATTACGAGGGCAAGGAAATATTCACAGCTCAGGGCAAACGACGGATTGCATTTACAAATTAGCATTCTAATGAGCCGAATGGCATGGTGTATGGCAATTATGGCGCCCAGTTTTTTTCTATCCAGCTCTTGGTCTATCCGCAATTGTGCCAGAATTCGCTGGAATTAAAAAAAGAAATCTAAAAAAAATAGGGCGGAGAAAAACAAACGCCCTACTCGAGTCAGCAGAACTTGGCCTTTGCGTGTTTGGCCAATTGAAATTGGGCGACTACTGCAGTTGAGGGCTCATGAATGGGGGACAACTAGGCCGCGTCCAGTTGCAGCACCCCCTTTTCCGCTTCCTGACCACGCTCATGGTGTCAGCTTCAGAAGTTTTCAGTTTTTCGAAAGGGGGTTTTCGGGAAAGGGGGGAAAATGAAACCGAAAACCGGTTACTGTGCGTTGAAAAATTCTCGACTTTTGTTTCACATACACAAAACGGAGTTTATCTTTTGGCTCTGCTCTGCTCTGGACCTCCATCCATCTCCCTCTCTCTCTTTTCCTCCGCCGGCTTTGTTATTTATCAAAATTCTTTGAAATGCACTCACACACACTGGTACACCATCGCTCTGTCCCGCTCTGGCACACAAAATTAAATTTTTTCCTTTGGTTTCTTTTTAATTTTTATATGGCTCTTTGGCTGATTCTGTGGCATTTTCTTCCTGCTCTTTTTTCTTGCACGCTCCACTGAACGCCGAACCAAGGAGTGCCCTTACTTGTTGTTCTCTTCGTTTGTACCCAGTATTTCGGGCTTATAGAAGAGGTGGGTATATTATTTTAAGATCAGAATACTTTTATACTCCGGTTCAAAAAAAAAAATTAAGTATTATAATTTTTTAATCCTTATTTGTCGTTTGAATTGTATAGTATCCTAAGAAATAATAAAGATATAAGATCCCCAAAGTGGGCAAGTTCTGAGAACTCCCTATACCACCCAGCTGATACTAGAAATTAACTTAATATTCAATAGATTTTAGGAGAAACTAAGTTATTTGATAGAATGTCCATCACTATACCATTTATTCTTCATATATTTAAAAAGTATACCATATACCATATAATCGCCTAGAAGTAGACTACGAATCTTGCATAACTTATCATTAGAAGGAGGGTATATCCTAGTCGTATCCCCAAACTGCATCGTTCTTACTTGTTTTGCCGCTGCTGTTAGCTAGTAGTTTCGGTTTGTTTAGGAGCCGGGTCGGTGCTTTTAAACGCAGCTCACCGAGGAGTCGAGTCCCGTCCCAGTCGGAGTTTGAGTTTGAGTTTGAGTTTGAGTTTCAGTTTGTGCTGGGACCCGGGCCGAACAGAACATGCATGTAAAAATGCAACGTAACTTGGCCAGGGGACAGTGGAGTGGGCGGGAACCAGAGTGCCCAGTTCCCAGTTCCCCGTTCCCAGTTCCCAGTTACCGACCATGTGCTGCGGTTGATGACTTGCACCGGGCCCAGAGACTGACTGACTCTGGTTCTCCTCTCTGGCAGTGCGACTTTGACTTTGGCACTGGTTAGACTGGCTGGCTGGGAATTTTCGGGGTGGGGGAGTTTTCAGGGGGATGGGTTCGGAGTGGCATTGCGGTCTCTGCTGGCTGATTCAGTCTGGTTTGGCTTTTGACTCTTCGTCCAAGAGCAGGCGGTTTCCTGTGATGTTTGGTTACTTCATAGCCTGTTGCAAAATTAGTGTGATCAGAGCCATCAGATAAGTCAAGCCGGGCAGGGATAGAGATGCTTTGACAAAGTCATTTTGGCACGAAAGATAGGCGCTCTAATTAAATTTCAACATTATTAAATGGTTCATTAAAGTCTCCATTTGTTGGAGGGCTTAACAAAACGATTGTTTTGTTAAATATATATATATATGATATATGGTTATTATATGGTATATGGTATCATATTATATGGTATATGATCAATATTCTAAAAAGAATTCAGACGGATATCTTTATCTGGTATAAAGATCTTTAATTCAACATTCCAAGGACAGCCTGAACTTTAATTGAGTTTTACAAAATAATTAATGACAGGTGGCTATAAAATACTTTTCGAAAACCCTTTTTGGAAACCTTTTACTTGAGGTTCTTGATTAGAGCATCAGTATACTCCGAACACTTGGCCTTGCCGCCCAGGTCCATGGTGCGGATGTTGTCATCCTTGATGGTCTTAAGAACGGCCTGTTCTATGTTGTCCGCGTGCTCATGCATCCCTATATAGTGCAGCATCATCACTGAGGAGAGCAGCAGCGCTGTGGGATTGGCCAAATCCTTCCCAGCGATGTCGGGGGCAGTTCCATGCACTGATTCGAAAATGGCGCCATTGGTGCCCACATTTCCCGAGGGTGTCAGACCCAATCCTCCAATTAGTCCGGCACACGTGTCCGAAATGATATCCCCGTACAGGTTGGGCAGCACCAGCATATCGTATCGCCTGGGATCCTGGACAATATTCAGGCAGACGGTGGTCATGGTGGACTCCTCGTAGGTAATGCCCGCTTTGTCCAGTTTGTTCTTGTATTTGGCTGCCATTTCCCGGACGCACCGCAGGAATAATCCGTCGGACATCCGCATGACCTGGGATTCGGCCACGGCAGTGACCTTTTTCCTCTTCATTGCCAGGGCGTACTGGAAGGTATACTCGGCCACCCGGAGCGAGGCATTCCGGGTGATCAGCTTGATGCTCTGCACCACTCCGTTGACCAGGGTGTGCTCTATGCCCGAGTACTCACCCTCGGTGTTCTCACGAATGGTTACGATGTCCACGTCCCCGTAAATGGTTTCCACTCCTGGAAGAGATCGACATGGTCGAATGTTGGCATATAGGTTGAAGAGCTGACGCAGGGTGAGATTCAGGGATCGGAATCCAGTGCCCACTGGGGTCATCAGGGGTCCTTTGAGGCCCACCTTCGTTCGGTTCATGCTCTCGATCACCTGTTCTGGGACACCCGTTTGACCTCTGCTATTTATCACTGGTGTAACGTCAACGGGTTCAAAGATTAAAGGTGCTTTAGCGGCCTCGAGGATCTTTATAACGGCCATTGAAATCTCCGGCCCAATGCCGTCGCCAGGCATTAGGGTTATAACTCTTGAACCACCCAGATCCTGTCCAGACTTACCGCCAGCTCCGCCCTTCTTGTCTGGGCCTCCTGTTGGTGCCTTTGCTCCTGGTGGCGATGGGCCAGGAGGTTTACTTGCTGTTGGGGGCTTAACCGGAGGTTTACTTCCAGTTGGTGGTTTACTGGGAGGCTTACTACTTGTTGGTTGCTTACTGGGAGGTTTACTAGGGGGTTTACTTGCTGTTGGTGGCTTACTAAGAGGTGTACTTCCCGTAGGCGGTCTTCTGGGAGGTTTACTTGCTGTTGGTGATTTACCGGGTGGTTTACTAACTGTCGGTTTACTGGGTGATCTACTCGGTGTAGGTGGTTTAACAGGAGGCTTACCGCCCGTTGGAGGCTTGGCTCCTTTTAATGGATGTTTGTATTTTTTCGTTGGTGGATGAAAGGGATTTCTAGGACCCGAAGGATTTTTAGGTCCCGAAGGTGGTTTGGTCGGTGGTTTACTTCCGGTTGGTGGATCTCTTCCACTTTGACTTCGTTCCGGTGGCTGGGATTGGATTCCTGAGGGATTGTTACCTATTGAGTTAAGATGCTCTGCAAACGATCTTAGTACAAGATTTTCTGGGTTATCCGCTTTTCCGTCTTTTCCCGATTGATCCAAAGCCTTTGTAGTTTGGTTGTCGGGAGTTAGCTCCTTGATCGATGACTTTCCCGATAATCCTGCTAAGCAATCTGATTGCAATGATTCCTTTGTGGGAGGAACTACCACCTTTCCCGTTTTTGATTTTTCAGAACGAGAACCCACCGGGAACTTGATTAGCTTTCCCTCACGATCTTCCGGTGGTTCACCAGAGCCACCACCAGTAGATGAGCTACTGAAGGACCTGATTACTGAGAAGCACATTGAATTCCTGGGTGGCTGGATGCGAGTGGGCTCAAGCACTTCACCCTTTCCAGGCAGACAGTCGGGTTTTCTGTGGAAGGGATTTTCCCTAGTTCCCGGGTAGCGAACATTTCGGATCCTTGGAACTTGTTGCCGTACTGGGATCTCTCTTTTTTCGTGTTCCTCGAAGCGCCTACGACGTCGCCATGGCTCGAAAAAAGGCTTACGAAACCCGGAAACAGCATTATCCATCAGATGGAGTACCCTTCGATTGGTGTACCAGCCGGCTGTTCTTGACTGTCGGCCAAGAGCAGTCCATTTGAACAGATTGCCGGACATGGTCTACTGAAATTTTGATAAAATTACTGCCTGGACGTGTGATGTTGAATTATTGAGATTATGTAATCTACAAAACAAAGATCTATTGGTAGGCGGATGACATTTTAGCCCAGGGGATATTGTTTATTTGAACACTATTAAATTTGTCACCAATATAGTTAAGTCTATAAAATAAAGATAAGTTTAGTTTGTTATCTGTCAGAAAGAGTTCACATGAAAATACATTGTTCAGAAATGCGAACTTGAACGACAAATCTATTATATGACCATTGCCCCTAGTTTAAACTACATTTCTAAGAATCATAAATATAAATCAATGATCAAAGGTATATAAATCGACCCATAGTATCTTAACAAAAATGGTTTCATGATTTCCTTGATAATGAAAACGGAATGTCCTTCTCTTTCTCCTTTCCCTAGAGTTCCTTGGAATTTTTAAAAATTCATTTGCAGATGACGGAAGTCAACACTTGGCCGAATCGTCGCCAGTTCCAGTTCCAATTTGCATAGCTTTTAGGCCAAGCGTTTTATTTCTTTTTTGCCAGCACTGCCCTGGCCTTTGCTTGTGGCGCCTCCAAGTTTGGCGACTGGCACCACCGCCAAAGAAATGAAACTTTCTCGGCCAAAAAAAGCACGCGACGAGAAATGGTCTGCACAACCCTTTCGATTTCGACTTGGGAGGACTTTTCCTCCGATTCGGTCTCGTTTTGTTTATTCCTATTTGGGTTAAGCTAATTAAATTACTTTTTCGCCTGCAATTTCATTTTCGAAATTTGTTTGCTTTGAAGGTCGACTTTCCTTTCCTTTAATTGAAAAAGTTTCACTTCAACCCTAGGCCAAGAGCCACGCAAATGATTTAATATGAAAATTTCCATCGTGTATTTAATTAGACGAGAGTGCTCGGCTCTCGGGTTTCCCAGTAAACGAAATTAGCTGCGAAAGGCAATCAAATTATGCACAAGCCCTCGTTTTAATGGGCACACCTGCCGACATATATGCGACCGATCCGCCCGACCAGCCACGCCCACCGCCCCCGTCACGCTGTTGTCATTCGGCATAATCATATTTCAACGGATTAGCATAATTTTAACAAAAAAAAAAATATATTAATAACGAAAAGTGAATGGTGGCATCGAGTTGCAGACAAAGCAGCAGCAGCAGTTCCTCGCCCTCCCCGTTCCAAGTTTTATTAAATTTTCCTACTGTTCTACGGCTTAGTTCTCATTTATATTCATATTTTGTGGATTTCAAAGCAGCTCCAGCGTAGGGGGAATTTTTTCCGCTTTTGGATCGCTTTTGTTTTTATTATTTTTGGCTTTTAGTTAGTCGCTGTTTGAGCGTTGGCGTTGATTCGCGCATTTGTTATTAAATGATTGATGATCCCTAGATGGGCTTAACTCATCCACACACGAGCACCTCTGAAATTGTAATTCGCCAAGGGGTCGCATCGCCAAGCTGTCTAGTTGACTGCGCATTTGGGGGCCTTATCTGATATCTGACCAACTTACCACACAGATACACCCGATATCTCTATGTATAGTACACTGCCGTAGGACCGGCGAAAGCAAACAATTGGGCAGATAACATTTCCCTGTTTGTTCTGGCATTTAGTTCGAAATACGCACCTGCAAATGGAGAAAATCAAATAGAATTAGTAAATTAGTCAATCGTTGGAGAGTGGAAATTAGAGTACTTTAAAGTCCTAAGCTAAGATGGTAATAGAACTCTCTTTGAAAAACATTAAGTTAAATATCCTTATGTTCAAGATGGTTTTGAAAACTGTTGAGCTCCTCCCAACATCTTAACTTCTTTGATAAAAAAGAAGTGATTTCTCATGTTTTCATTTGTATCTACACTCCTCTTACACCCTCTACACATATTTAACACTTTTGTTATTGTTTGCCTTTACTTCCACTCTTGTTTATATGTACTTAAGCTTAGTGTGCAAAAAAAGCTGGCTAAGAACGAAAGAAACTCCGGCCAAAGTCAATAAACCGTATAAATGTACAACAACAAATAGAGGCAGGAATAAAGAGGCGAGCAAATAGGGGAACAAAATAAAGAGAGCGCTTCGAATGGCGATTGAATGAAGTCGAAATACCCAAAAAAACAACAAGCCAGTCTTAGGCAAAGCTCTACAAAAAACAACAAGACAAAAATCAAAGTGCCTTTGGTCATTTTCAGAAATCATTCACACATCTGGATGTGTGTGTTTTTATATTTTTATTGTGGCCTTTGTGGCTACGATAACAAGGCAACCGCCAACGCTATATTAGCCAGGCTTTCAGGGCACTCTAACCCAAAAAAAAAAATAAAAAAAAGATTGCGAAAACAAAATCAGCTTTGGCAATTTGCTAGCCTTTTTGGCTCAGTGGAGGGCTTTCGCGTTTAACCCCCTCTATATGTCTGCGTTTTTGACCAGTCCAATGTTTGTCTTTTGCTGTTGCTCGTCATAAAATGATTTATGGGCTTTAGGTGCAAATAATTGATTTATGCGCGGCCCCAGACATGGCACAATGTAAATACGAGTTAGGGACTAGGAGACAACTTAGGAATGGAGTCTACACAGATGGGATAAATCGAACAGATGGCAATCCCTTAGCCAAAAAGGTGATAGAAGTGTTTACTACTTCTTAAGAGAATAGTGCCACAAGTGTTAAACAAAACATACTAAATAAGATGCTTCTTCCCCAAAAAAAAAACCAAATCCGATTACACGCATTATAACCCCGGAAATGCCAACTAGTTAGTTATGTATCCACATATCTGCATCTGTATCTGTATCTATTCCTGCCATCGAGTCCCCCATTCTATTCCGATGCTGTGCACACTTCACTAGGCATTAACCTTTACCTTTTCCATGAACATAACAATCCAAAGGTAAGGAATCAAAAACAACAACGTGCCACTGGCATCCATGAATCAAAAAAACACAAAAAACGAAAGAATCCGGCGACGTTTGTATCTCACAATACATATGTGTGTGTTCATTGGAAAACAACGACTACGCGGCACAAAAGACATGGCCAAACAATGAGCCCAGAACTCTAAACGATGATGGAGATCCAGCAGAGGTATCGAATATATGGTATAGAGGAGTATCTGGAGAATCGGGAGGGGTTAAGTGTTCCCAGTGAGTAAGTCGTCGGCGAATTTGGCTTTGACTTTGCTACTCCTGCTACTGCTGCACCATCATCGTCGTTGCATAAGCAACGAGTTGCCCCCGACATTGACCAAAGCAAATCGGTCAAGAGGAGTGGAAAATTGTATCGCCTATAGATACACCGCCTCAGATACAGATACAGATGCAGATACATTCACAATTGCTGTCTGCAACCTCTTGCGTTTGTTTGTTTGTTTGACGAATTTACTGGTGAATGTTTAAAAATAGATGCTGGCAGGTACCAAAAGCGTGAGATACAAATGTATCTACTACCTGTCCTAGACGAATTTCACACATTTTATGGCTCTCAGGGGCGCATCCAGTAGATACAGACAAAGTGGCCAGCGCTAAATATTTAATTGGTTGCCATTCGAAGTTTATCTAATCGCAAGACGACCTGCAAGTCTTATCGGGGAATGCATTCCACCATTATCAGAGTGAACGGGATGGATTATATCGGACCATGTCCAAGCGGAAGAGTCCAACAAGTTGACAACTTCCTTTGGACAAGCTTTGGCCATTCTTAATAGCTTCCACTTTGCCGTGGTTCTAATTAAAATGCCAACCTTTCTGGTAACTGAAATACAAACCAAACTGGTTCGGATTGAAACCAACTTGAACTGGACTCATCATGTCGAGGCATGAATGAAAATGAGTTATGTATTTACAGACCCAGCCACGAAAAATTGTCACTACCGCTCATGTTTTGTTATGTAGAATGGTGCCTTCCTGGAAATCGTTTTGTTCCCTCAATGAACCGAACACACCTGAGAATGAATGAGAGTTGGACGGTGAGATATTTCACCAATTTGAATGCGAGCAGCCGACAACATCTGGATCCATGGATCTCTGAAAACTACCAGATACTTCACGCACGGAACCCAGAAAGCCAATCAATGACATCATTCCGCCTTCGAAACAGCCATCTGAAATTAAACAGAACTCGAACACTGAACTGAAAACTGAACAGTGGAAACAAAATCGAGCCACTCTCGAATTGCCTTTTGTATTGAGGTCAGATGTGTAAAAAACAGAAAACTAAAGCAAACATTAAGAAAGTAGCCACATACAAAGGCATGATTTTTATGTTTTGCTGTCTGTTATTTGCTTTTTTTGCCTTTTTTATATGCGTGTGAAATCGATGGGCATAGGCGTCGTTAATTTTAATTGAAACTAATTAGTGCAAATATAAAAAAATCTTAAATGGTTTTGGGTGTTTTGTAATAGCAGAAATAGAGTGGAATGCTGATGAAGACCTCTGTTCCAAACATCAAGCAGAAAAGGGGTTTTTTAATTTATGAGAGCATAAAACGCTTTCCTAAGATTGATGATAAACCTTTGAGTACCAAAGTGTAGGAAGAGGTTTATTTATCTTATCAAAAGCTAGGGCTTATAACATTTTTTATGTTGCCAATTAGATATCGGATGTTGCGCTCAATAAAGATTTGTTGGTCATATTTAGTACAATAAATAAAAATCAAAGAAATATTCATGTGCATAGTTAAGATATTAGAAACTCTCTTTTAGAATTTGAAAAGTCATTAGATGCAGGCATTTATTTAAATTGAATTTCCTTAAAAAAATCTGCAACTAAAATGTTTATGAACTTCTTGGTGGTGATTTATCGATGCCAGACTTATTTTACAGACTTCTCCAATTGCTTTTCCCACGTTCCAGCTTTTCTAAAGCACTAAACAAAGACGTGCCGTAATGACTGCCGATTAAGCCGACCTATAAGCCACTATCCTCAAACCCTTCGACTATTTCCACTTGAGTCGATGAAAAGCGGAGAGGAAAACTCATTTCTAACCATTAAGCCACTGGACGAAACCTTCGTAAACTACTTAAAACGCAGTCGTAATTAGTTTTGCGTCCAGCAGCAAATCAATTAAGTATTTTGTCTGGCTTAGAGTTTAATTGAT